TTTAAATTTGAAGTCCAGTGGCCAGTCTAAGCAATGAAGGGCTTTGAGACATTGAATACATGCAGGTATGGAGCTGCCTTGAGAAATACTATTTCATATTTCGAAGGAAAAAAAAAAAGACAAAAGCCACTGTCAATGGATTGAGTTTTCGATTCTCGGTGATATCCATCCCCACACCGACGCCTACTCCGCTGTGAATTGTGAATGGCAATTTGCCCTGTCCTGCACTTTTTGAAGGGAGATGATAGTTAAAATTTTATCTCGAACGGAACATAAGTAGAGATGGAATAAATTTTTTTGGGGCAGGGTGGGAACGGAGATGACTATCTTTACCCTTGTCTTGTCATTTTATCTTAAAAAATGACAATTTGATGGAGCTTTATCTCGCCCCTTGGTTTGAGACGAGCATGATAGTCAAAATTTCATCTCGAATAAAACAAAAGACGGTAATGGAGCAAAATTTTTTAGAGCGAGGTGGGGACGGGGATGACTATCCCTACCACCGCCTCACTCCATTGCCATCCTTAATTGTGATTGCTAGGTATCACTTATAATTGCATTCTGCCTGTCGCTGTGAATCTGTGATCATTCATAAAAGAAAAGAGAAACGAATTTCAATTTGCCTTGAGAAATGGTATTTCCTTTTGTTAATATATATATATGTATATATATGCAGAATTTTTAGAACGGATAAAAAAAAAGGTTTTAATTTTAATAATTTTTATCTTACGCACAGTTTATTGAATAAAAAATAAAAAATAAAACTGTTGATAAAGCTTCTTCATTTGTTAATATTTAACAGCTAGCTCACGTTTTTTTTTTTCCTCCATATTTGATTCTTTTAGCTGGGCAAAAATTCGTCCACTAGTTTGTTAGTTTGCGTACGCCCATTATTCTTGATCCACCATTTCTTTATTATTATTATTATGTTTTTGAATAAAAAATATGTAGGGAAGATAATGTATAATGATAAGGATTATGATGAGCAAGGATAAAACGGATATTCGATTTATTCGATCCAACAAATATCTATTAAAAATATTCAATGGTATTGAAGTGGATAAAAGTAAAAAAGTAAGTATCCATTAATACGTTTTCAGGTATAGATACCTATTCTTTATCATATTAACACTCATTAATTTATTTAGATTTTTTTTAATTAATATATAAGGATCTAATTGTATTAAATTTAAAAATTAAGGATTAAAATATTTATTCTGACAGTTTTGAAGACAAAAAAAATTATAAATAAATGACTAAAATGTAAAAAAAAAATTAAGGATAAAAAACTTTTTTCAAAAAAATGTAGGAACTAAATTTTTTTTTTAATAAATTAAATTTAACGAATATTTAATAAGTATTAAACGGATGAATAAATTAATATTAATCAGGTATACTCTGATTAAAGGTTTATATAATAATTATTTTAATAAATAATAGATAAGCTATTCTTTTGACAGAGAGTATCAAAAATTGAATTAAGGAGCTAGCTACCCGCCAATTGCCATACCTATATGATAACCAATTATTAAAGCAGAGGTGCTCTGTGTCTTTGGTAGCTACTAGAAGAACCAGACCAGAGGTGTGAATTATTGTTAAAAAAGAAAAAGATCGAGCTGTGAATTTCCTATCCATGGCAGATAACTCAAAGCTTCACATTGCTATGTTTCCATGGCTAGCCTTTGGTCACATGATTCCATATTAAGAGCTTGCCAAACTCATAGCTCAAAAGGGTCACAAAATCTCCTTCATCTCCACCCCTAGAAACATCGATCGTCTCCCCAAACTCCCCCTCGTTTGTCTCCTCTGATAACTTTCGTCAAGCTTTCATTGCCTCAAGTGGAAAACCTCCCTGAAGATGGCGAGGCCACCATTGATGTTCCATACGACAAGGTCCAACACCTAAAACAAGCCTATGACAATCTCCAAGAACCCTTGTCCAATTTTCTTCAAACTTCTGATGATCTTGATTGGATCTTTTATGATTTTGCCCCATATTGGCTACCAGATATAGCCAAACGTCTTGGCATTCCACATGCTTACTTCAGTATATTCACAGCAGCAACACTGAGTTGTGTCAAGCCAGCTTCTGCTATTGATGATCGCTCAAAACCAGAAGATTTCACTGTCCCTCCTGAGTGGGTTACATTTCCTACCAATGTGGCCTTCAGACTCTTCGAGGTTTCGAAGATTTTTTATCAGTCTTTTGATCCCCATGTTGTTTCAGATGTTTATCGTACCCAGGAAGTTTTGGCAGGCGGTGATATGATAGCTGTGAGGAGCTGCATGAACCAGAATGGTTGCATCTACTAGAAGGAATTCATGGAAAACCAGTTATACCGGTTGGTGTTCTGGCCACTACAGAACATGATACAGGAGAAGAAAATGGAACATGGAAATCAATGAAGGATTGGCTAGACGAGCAAAAAAAAGGTTCCGTGGTTTACATAGCCTTCGGCAGTGAAGCAAAGCCAAGTCAAGTTGAGCTGACTGAGATAGCTCTAGGGCTAGAATTATCTGGGCTGCCATTCCTCTGGGTGCTAAAGAAGAGTCGAGGTTCGGTTGATTCTGAGTCGATCGAGTTGCCGGAAGGGTTCGAGGAGAGAACCAAAGGGCGGGGTTTGGTTTGCACTAGTTGGGCTCCTCAGCTCAAGATCTTAGCTCATGACTCGTTAGGTGGATTCTTGACTCATTCTGGATGGAGTTCTGTAGTGGAGGCACTTCAACATGCTACAGCGCTTATACTCTTGACATTCTTTGAAGACCAAGGGTTAAATGCAAGGGTTTTGGAGGAAAAGAAAATAGGGTATTCCATACCAAGAAATGATGAGAATGGATATTTCACAAGGGATGCTGTTGCTGAATCCTTAAGATTGGTGATGGAGAAAGAAGAAGGGAAAATTTACAGGGACAAGGCTAAGGAGATGAAGCTGTTGTTTGCCGACAAAGATCGACAAGATAAGTAGGTGGACCAACTTCTGGGCCGCCTCAGAATCCATGGGAATATCCAGAAAAGGAAGAGCTAAGATATGCGGACCAACTTTTTAATGCATGCGATGAGTGGATCTATGTGACAGTAGTCAGTATGAATTAAGACAAATTATTCAGGTTCTGAACCTTTCATTTACTGTGTGTCATGTGTATATTTCTTTTATTCATGTAGGATAAAAGAAACCTCTATGAATAAAAGAAATTAACTCTTCATCTCTCTCTTTCCTCCGCCGTCTCTCTCTCTGTGGGTGGCCAGGAAAGACTTTCATCTTCTCCTTCGTCCCCCGTCTCTCTCCCTCTCCGGCAGCTTGCAGCCCAACACCTCATTGATGTGGAATTTCAGGACCCTGAATAATTTCTCATTGATCTGCAAGTGCACTCGCGTCTGGCGAATAAGAAAGCTCAAAGCTAGCTTGAGCCATCATGATTATTAGGTGGATGTTATTATTCCTTCCTTCCCGTGGGCAGAATTTCTGTCTCGTTCCTTCATCCAAATTGAACGAGTATTCTCCTAACACATATAATCTATGTATGTCTAGCAATGGGATTGACCTGAATCTCGTAAGTCGTTATATTACATCTTGCTTCATCTTTTTTTGATTGAGGAGAGAGTTTCAAACGCACTCAACAGATTACACAGCTCATACTGTGAGAAAACTAATCCCGTTTATATTTTCTAATATAATAGAAAAAACAATTAGAAAGAACACTTGCTACTAGATGGTCCTTAGTTGGAGAAAAAAAAACACATGGTTATTCTACCAATTTTTTTTTATTAAAATTTAAATTTTTTTCTCTCTAATTTGAGAATTCTATAAACTCTAACCTATAAACTCTAACCAATAACATTGTCACGTAAACACACGTGATAAATTTTAACCAATAACAACTTATCACGTGAGCTTATGTAGCGCTTACCATATGTGTTTACGTAACATATTAGAATCTAAAACAACAACAATATAAAAAAAATCTTAAAACAACTAAAAAAAACTTAAAATCTCAATAAAAAAAATTTAAATTATACGAGATCTCGATATGTGATTAATCAATTTGTACAATGATTTGTCTTTCCATGTAAGTGAATAACCTGATTAGATGAGCTTTATCAAGATTAACACTTGAATTATTTTGAATTATTTGAACATCTGTATACATTAATGTTAATTCACTTCAAGCTAGAAGGCAATCAAGAGATCATTTTTTCCATTTTAGATGGCTTAGAGCCAATACACTTTTGGAGGTCCACATTAATTAGCTCTATCGACTCCCTCTATCCGAGAAAAAACTTCATGCAAGATGTTACTTGGAAGCAAATTGATCAGAATAAAAAATGCTCCAACAGGCTATACCAAAACAATGCTCAATGGAGAGTTATGAACAAACACAAGATCAAAACTCAAATTTTCCCTAAGCCAACCCAATAAAAACATGGAATAAAAACTAGAAACAAAACAAGAGATGGAGATCATATTCCAAACCTGTCTGGCATAAAAATAATCACGAAGAACATGGATTGCGTTCTTCATTGGATTTCCACAACAAAAACAAGAAGGATCAGTTGTCATTTGCGTTCTATAACGTTGGTTATTGGTGAGAAGCCGATCACGAATGGTTTCTCATACATGAGAAGAAGCAGAACACTACACCTACTGCTTGTATTCAATGAATATTAATGTTATAAAATGATTTACATAACTCCAAATCACACTTGATATTCAATGAATATTTATGTCTCTACTTTGACATTGTTAAAGAATGCTTGAGAACAATATGTGGAAGGCCATACCCCAGATCAGAAAGCAAGGAAAGGAATCGATATTTTGGAAATTGCAGTTGTTTTTGGGAAAACAGGGGGAAGAAAGTTAGAATGTAGAGGGATAAAAAAAACTAGGAAAAAAGACGAAAACAATAGAAGAAAAGCATAGATAACCATTTATTCGTATTAGAAATTACATAATAATGCAAATAATTACTTCCTTTCTGATCATCTTCATTGGCTTCGAGCTTCACTCAAGTGAAGAATCAGTCTTGTGAACTGATCTAGAGAAGGCAAGAACATCATCAGGATTTTGAACACCAATCTTGTTTTCTTCACTACTATGACCATTACCACTACTGATTATTGTTTCACGTATCAAAATCTTCGCCATTGGATCATCAACACCCTTTGTTGATGAATATTTCTTCTCTTCTGTCACTTCCGTCTCTAATTGCTCATTTCTCTCTTTCTTTGCCTCCATATATTCCCACTACCTCAAGCTTCCTTCTACTACCGTTTCTTCTTCTGTTCTTTTGCCTCATTTTTAGGTTAAAATACAGATGCAAGACGTGGGATCACAAATGCTTTTACTCGTGGCAGTTGTTAAACTGCAAGGAGTGGCTGCTCGACATGCAAAGATGCAGAAGACTACACGTAATGCTTCTATATTTAGTAAATGTCAATGTTAAAAAATGATTTTAAATAACTCTATGTCACGCTATATATTTAAAAGATAATGTATTTTCTTAATAATTAAGATTGCATTTTTTTTAATCGATTTTTACGAATCAAGATTAAGTATAGATCTTGATATAAGGTTTGAACTTTAATAATTAATTAAAAAATTGGCACTAATAAATTATAAAACGGATAAATAAGATTTTTTTCATACACTAGGCTGTTTCTAATTATATTTATTATTATTATTATTATTATTATTATTTAAATGTCAATTCTGTTTTTTCCATCAATTTTTTAGATTGTAAATAAATTTTTTGACAAAAATACTCTTAATTGAACTAAAAGAAATTCTAAAAACTTTAAAAATAAAATATGCTAGCTATGTCTTCTAAGTAGTTCTTTTTTTCATCATAAAAAAGAGAAGGCAAGAACATCATCAGGGGACCATTACCACTACTGATTATTGTTTTACGTATCAAAATCTTCGCCATTGGATCATCAACACCCTTTGCAGATGAACCTTTCTTCTCTTCTGTCACTTCCTTCTCTAATTGCTCCTTTCTCTTTCTTTGCCTCCATAGATTCCCACTACCTCAAGCTTCCTTCCACTACCTTTTCTTCTACTGTTCTTTTGCCTCATTTTTAGGTTAAAATGCAGATGCAAGACAGGGGATCACAAATATTAATGCTTTTACTCGTGGCGGTTGTTAAACTGCAAGGAGTGGCTGCTCGACATGCAAAGATGCAGACGACTACTAGTAATTTTATAATACACTAAAAGTAATTAGTAATATGTATAGTAGTTACTCCATGAGTTCACTTTGAAGAGAAAGATAGACATAAAAAAAGTGAGAAACATGAGGGAAAAAATAAAAAAATTTGAACAGAGGTGGAAATCTTCTTATCACTTTTAGTGGATATGGATGTAATTTTACTATTTTTTTATATCTCTCTCTCCTCAAAATGAGCTTATGGAGTAACTATTGTACATGCCACTAGTTACTCCTAATGTATTATAAAATTTCTCGACAACTACACCCAATACTTCTATAATTAGTAAATATCAATGTTAGAAAATGATTTTAAATAATTCTATATATTTAAAAATTAATGTATTTTCTTAATAATTAAGATTGTAATTTTTTTTATCAATTTTTACGAATCAAGATTAAATATAGATCTTGATATAAGGTTTGAACTTTAATAATTAAAAAATTAGCACAAATAAATTATAAAAGGGATAAATAAAATTTGTTTTTATATACTAGCTTGTTTCTAATTATATTTATTATATATTTTTTAATAATATCTAAATGTTAATTCTATGTTTTCGATCAATTTTTTTCAATTATTAACAAAATTTTTAACAAAAATACTCTCAATTGAATTAAAAAAAATTCTAAAAACTTTAAAAATAGAATATGTTAGTTATATCCTTTAAGTAGTTTTTTTTTTTAATTTCCGTCATAAATATTTTTAATAAAAAAATTATTTATGATTAAAAAAATTGATTGAAAAACAAAGTGAACTTAACATTACTTCCACTTTAAATAAATATAAAATTATAAATTAATATAAAAAAGTTGAATGAAACATCCACCGTAAGTTTTAAAGTTTTTAAATAAAATTCAATATCAACTATATATGACGGGCTGCCTGAGTTACACGACCTCTATACGGCATCACGGCTGCCTGAATTACATGTCCAATCAAGTTTTGGCAGCTTACAAGCAGCACAAAATTCCAAACTCTGCATAAAATTTGAAGGCACCTGTCCAAGACAATACCTTGTCTGCTTGGTTTTCATTTCCTCTTCATTATTTTTTTCTCGGCCTCTCCGTATTTATTGCCTGATCAGGACATATCTTGGATAAATCAATTAACGGTACTAGAAATGGGAAGACAAGTTATTAGTAGTGAAAAATCAACAGAGAGGATCACATCATCAGAGAAAATTGCAGGGCATGAAGATGTACTGATCACAGAAATCTTGCTACGTTTACCAGTGAAATCTCTATTCATATTCAAGTGTGTTTGCAAAAGCTGGCTTTTCCTCATATCAAGCACTCGATTCTGTAACAACCACAGCCGCTGCAACACAAATACTGCACCCTCAGGCCTCTTCTTTCCAGGGTTATTTTATGTTTCTCTTCGAAACAAAAAAATTGATCAACATGATAACCATCTAAGGTTTCCTTCTCTTACCTTTTTAAACACCCCAGTTGCTAAAATCATCCAGTCTGCAATGGTTTGTTACTTTGCAGCTCTAGCACACAGTTGAAGGACTCTTCTGCTACTTACTTCATCATTTGCAACCCCACCACCAGGAAATTCACTGAGTTTCCCTTAACTAGTATGGTGTCCGCCAGCAGCGAAGGTTGGATTGTTGCTGTTAGTTTGGCTTTTGATCCGTCAAAATCATTTCATTTCAAAGTTATTTGTGTTTGGAGGTTAGTTGACAATGAAAATGATCATCAAGATCTTGCTTTTCTTGTTCCTCAAACCTATCAGATAGGGATATATTCGTCTGAGACAGCGAGTTGGGGTCCATCAGGTGATCCTTTTAGTGCTTCAATCACCACTGATTTTGATAATGGTGTGTTTTGGAATGTTGCCATTCACTGGCTATGTCAGGAGAGGAGTTGTCTCTACTTTGACGTTGATAAGGAATGCTTGAGAACAATGTGTGGAAGGCCATGCCTCAGATCAGAGAGCATGGACAGGTTCCGATACTTTGGTGAATGCTGTGGCCGCTTGCTTCTTGTTGAGGTTGACATGCTTAATGATTCTGTCTTCCATGTTCTTGAAGTGGAGAGGGATCAGTACTCGAGAGGGTGGGTTACCAAGTACTGTATCAGTCTTGATAGAATAGGAGTGGCATTTGGGCGTTCCATTTTTAGTGTTGTTGGTGCAGATCAAGAGGATGGTCTGGCACTGGTGATATGGGGACAGCAGGGTCCTTTTCTATAATCTGAAGAATAGGGTTCTCGGTCACTTCATGCCAAGAAACAACACTGAAGTAACCAAGTGTAAGAGACATCATGTTCCTCTGTACATTGAAAGCCTTCTTTGCTTTTAACAGCTACATCTATGCTTTTTAGTTTATAGATTTGATGGTGTGTAATATACAAGGAAGAGTAGTGTCCATTACGGACTTGTAATGTTTCTCTAAATCTTTCAGTCCGGTTGAAATCATGCTCCTATATCAGCATATTTCTTGTGGTGGATCGACTGTTGGCTGCTGCCTTTTTGACATTATTTGCACATAATGGATAATTCATTTAAGAATCCCTAATATGAAAGATACAAATCTGCTAGTCTATATCAAATTGGGAGCATAGCTAGCGATAAATTTGTTACTGAATTGCAGCTGAAAACCTTCTCGGCAACATATAAGGCAAGATAACCAAAATTCCTTATCGAAAATAGCACCCGCAAGGATAAAAATTTCCTATCAAAATGGCAACTACATGCTGCAATGCAAATTATCAGGCATGAGCGTTTCTTTTGTTTCAGAATTGGTAGTAATTTTTGGAACAATTACTGCTCAAAAATTCTAAATACTTTTGGAACGCAGATGTCCAAAATTTCAGTAAATGTTGTGGCCACCCGTGCTATTGATGAGGTATGCCAACCAAAGAACGGTTCAATGGTGTGATAGCACAAATTTGATGTATGAAAGCAAAAACAAATAACCAAACTATCTCCTCTGGGATTGTCTGAAGACCAGTCTCATACAGAAAACAAAACTTATATGGCAAAAGAAGAGTTAATGGATTAAACATGCGAATGGCCAAGTGCACAGCAACCTGTGTCTGCTGGATAAGTACTACCATTAAACTTGACCAAAGCTAGAGGCCAACGTCTGATAACTTTGATAGACAAAAATATGAAAAGAGAACATCAAAACTTGAACAATGTCATCAAAACCTAGTTCATCCTCCTGATTAACTCATTGATGTAGTCTTCACGATTTCCAGCATCACCTCCTTCAACATAATGGTTTCTCTTTTTCTTCATACCTCCAAGGGGTGCCTTGAGCTGGAAAGGCCACAGGAAGTTGTTTGCCTCCTTGAAATGGGGTCCAACGGTCAAAATTTCATGGATGAGATCTTCCATGCAGATGATGCCGTACTTGCCCAAGCCCTGCAGTCAAAAAGGAAACATGCTCCCTCATTTCAGAAACAGATTGTGGTAGAGACTAATAACTAAAATAATGTTCAACTTACAGACCTGTTCAACAATTGAATTGTCAGTCAATGGAATCCTCTGTTGGTTTAGTTTCCCAAAACCCCTCTTGTAGATCAATTCCTTGACACTCTTTAAATTAGGATACCTTAAGCAATTTATAATATCATTGAAATTTAGCACATTATAAAGACTAGGGACTAGACAAATTAGAATCATGAGATAAAAACATACCCAAAAGTCACATAAGGCTCAACCCTGTGAAGCATATTCACGGTTGCTTTGTTTACTTTCAGGAATACACCATTAAATATCTGCAAACAGAACAACAGGCCAATGATTTTAAATGGACACAATTCCAAATCCTTTTCTTACCCCCAAAAAAAAAAAAAAAAACTGTTTCTCATCTCATAAGATAATTGAACTAGCACTAAAGTACTTTTATATCAAGAAAAAAAGAAAACGCACTAATTAAAAACGATGAAAAAGTTGTTCATGGAAAACAACTGCAGTATGAAGACATCTGTTTGCACTTTAATTGAGATCAGAAAGACATTTCACATTATCATTGCAAGACCTCATATTCATTGTCCTTGTAAATCCTAAACTGAGGTTTTAATCGTGGAGAAGTTAGAACACTGAAGACTCGCTACCACCTATTAAAAAAACGCATCAAATGAAAAATTATATGAAAATTAATCCAAACAACTGAGTTGCCATAATTGGAGATGTTACATGAAAGGTGTGGATGGATACATATTTCACATTCTAGTTGGCGTTTTCATTAATTTGTTTAGCAAAATCAAAGACACTGAAAGGACAAAGAGAAACAGATGCCTCAACCTAAGACAGCGTAAACAAATGCCACAACCTATCAAACTCAGATAGTTGAACATAATTTAGTTGACACCTCTCAGGGATCAGGAACCATCCCCTAGTACAACATTTAGAATGGCATTTTAAACAAAATAAATATCAACAGCAATTATAGACAGACAGCATTTCGTCCAAAATCAACTTTCATGGAATCAATGAATTAACTAGAAATGAAGAATTACCTGTCTCAAACGCAGAAGCTGCAAGATCGATCTTGTCTTAGGGTGCATGGCATTGATACTGAAGATCATAAATCCATAAAACATTAAATAGATGTGCCAGTAAAATAAGAAGTACAAGCCAAAATAAATACAACAATCTTACCCACGGATCCTGATGATAAACAACAGCTTAGGTTCTGGGCTGACATAGAAACCTCCCTTGAGTCTAGCTTCACGCTTAAGCCTAATAAGCTCTTTTTGCTGATCAAGACAAAAACAAGGGAAAAAAGGTGCATTTAAACAGTCAGAATTAAAATCAGTACCAAGACAGTACAGATCCTATTAATAAATCAGTTCACAAAAGATCATACGAAGTGTTATATTACCTCCTCATCATACTGCTTGGCATACTGCTTAGCCCTATTGAAAATCAACTTGCGATTTTCAACATTCTTCTTCTTTAGCGCTAGCTTCTCTTCCTTCTTAGCCAAAGCCCATTCCTCATTCCTTTTTTGCTTTTTCAACACAGACTCTGGCACCGGTACCTTAACTTCTTCCCCGCCCATCTCTCTCTACACACAAGAAACAACCATCAAAATCAACCAAATATCAATAAATTACAACTCCAAAAAAATGGCATGATCCCCAGAAAAATAAAAGTAATCGATCAAATGCTGCATTTCAAGGAAAAAAAAAATAACTACCCTTCGCATCAAAATCTAGAACCAAGCAACCTTTCTAAAATTACAGCAAAATGAGTAGAAATGTTTCTAGCTTTCCTAGCTTCTTAAACTTGCACAAGGGATTCAAACATTCCTAGCTAAAACAATCTTCAATTAAAGATATCCACAACCCATTTTTTCAAAATAAAAAACTAAGTAACCCTTTTGAAATTACAGAAAAAAAGGTAGATTCTTGATGTTTGTTTTAGAACTGATGTTTCAAGCTTTTTTTGGCTTCAAAATCCAACGGAAGTGATAACAGAATTCTTAACAAAGCGATTAACAGAAAAACAGATATGATTGATCGCTCTAAAGAGAAAGAAAGAGAAGCGATTGAGAGACTTACTTGTTGTTTGGCTTCCTGGTGGCGACTGCGATCTGCAAAGAGAGAAGTGAAGGTGTCTTCGCGGCTCTGAAGCAAAATATCTGAAAGTGAAGATTTAGGGTTTTTAGTAAGGTCGACTTTATATGGGCCTTGCTGGGTAAGTTGCTACCCTTGAGGCTATGTGGGCATGAGTTGGACTGGCCCAGCACTAATCTAAATTTTCTTTTGTTTTTTGTTTTTTTATCCTTTTCAACTGGCTAATTATTATTTAAGAGCAAACAAAATCTTTCCTCCTTTTAAATATTTTGAATTAGAGCTCTTCCTACGTAATATATATATATTGGAAAATTTCTATTTTAACATCCAACAATTATTGGAAAAACCCCAAATTAATATTGAAAAACTAGGTTTGTAAAGGAGAGTAGAGAGTAGATTTAATGAATTAGGATCCTACATTAATTTTGTTCATTTTTTTTTTAAAGTTGACATTGATTTTTTAAAAAATTATGATAGGGCATTTAAAACTGCGTGATAAATAGCTAATATTTTCTAGGTCAATAAGTTTTAGATGTTCGTCAAGAATTGAAAATAGTTACATCGAATTGCATAAATATAATATAATGAACATAGGATGAAATTCACCAAAATATTTACACATGGTTTAATTTGCTGATTTAATACAACTATAGAGTATTAAAATAAGATTTTTCTAAAAATTATTTGATTAAACTCAATAATCCATTTAAAATTAGGTCAATACGGACAAAAAAATAATGATATTTATATAATATAACATTATAAGCCATTTATATTTCATTCTATAAAATACTGGTGGTGATTCCTTTATTAGACTTTTAGGAAAATGTCTTTTCATGGGCATTTACATTTTAAAATATTAATAAATTTTACATTGATAAAATTATTGTTTAAATATAATTAATTAGTGATTTGAAGTGATTGACACGGCAGTAAAAAATGTTCGTTTTCTTTCTTTTAACTTTTTAGTTTTTACATTCAAATTTTGGGGATAACACGCAGGTCGAGTGTTCAAGGGCCAGAAGGTGGACCGCCCAGACCAATCAGGATCCGTAATGGGCTGAGCCTCGACTTATTTTAGGCCTGGTTCTCAGCCCTGTCTGAACTGCTTGGTCGGCTGGCCGGGCCCAGGCTTGGTAGTTCTTATATTGGGCCAGCATGGCCTTCCCATATATTATTCAAATTTTCATAGGCATAATTATATATACAAAAATGAAACCCCTAACCAAGCTAACACCTGGCAGCAGTATGTCATAAATATAATTAACATAAGCTCAAATTCCTCAAACTATTTATACATATTTTAATTTCTTGATTTAATATAAACATAAAGTATAAGATTTTTCTAACAATTATTTGATTAAATTCAATAATCCATTTAAAATTAGGTTAATAATAAAAAATAATTATATTTATCTGATATATCATTATAAGGCATTTATGTTTCATTCAGTATTGCTTTCAAGCTATCGATTTCAGTTCATTCAAGTTTAGTTTGGCTTCGAGAGCCTCCCCTCCTTGTCCTAGTCGTTTGAAAGCCGTCATCCTAGTTTTTCTTCGTCTGCGGTGTAAAGTGCCTCACCTTTCTACAAATTTTAATTCCCTTGGGTCTCTCTCTCTCCCTCTCTCTCTCTCTCTCTCTTTTTATATATATATATATATATATATATATATATATAAAGGATTTTCATGACTTTAAAGATTTTATAATAATGGGCTTTATGGGTTTTTCATATGATAATGATAATAATTCGAGACCGTATAAGTACATACGTGCATTTTTAGAGGCTTGCTATGACGCATCCGTGGATAGGTCCGGTTCGTCGGACATATATTATGGAAACCCTAAAGTACCTAAATGTGATATATCCAGAGATAGAAAAAAGATTTTCGGACTCTTTATGAAATGTTTTATGACACGAAAAAAAGAATTTATTATGTATATATGAGTATTTTATACATACATGTATATTACATGCATACGTTAACTTACTAGGTTGTAGCTCGTATAGTTCCTTGTGGTGTAGATAAATAAGATACCGTGGCTTACTTCTCTACAAAGTTGATTTTTGAGAAATGCACCGGACAGCTTATATCTTAAATGGGGCTTTGGGATCCTGGTGGACATATTACATGCGATTTTATTTACGGTAATAGCTATTGTCTTACATGTCCTAAAACTAGTCGGAATGTGTTATATATTAGAAGCAATAAATAAGTAAGTGTAGTATTTTAAAATAACGTAGTTAGTAAATAAGTCAATTTTTTTATAGTTGGTATATAAGTAGTTTTGTATGTAAATTAATAACTCGTATGAACCGAAGTACTAATAATGAAATGATAGTGTACTAATAATAGTGTAGTTACTTTAATTCTCCACGGCATGTTAGCATCTTTGAATATTTAAGAGAATTTCTTAATTAACCGTTAAATAAAAAGAATAGTAAATAAGAAAGAGAATAAGTAATGTAATAATAATTGATAAAAAGGAATTACATCTTAATGAATTGTAATAGTTAATAAAGAAAGGATTTGAACTAGCAAATAACTACGAATTTAGTAATTCAGTTTCAAGTATGCGGGCAAATAGATCAAATACGAAAAATTTATAACGTCTTTTAAAGTTAAAGTACGGGACCTATCTAGCCCATATTAAATTTCTAGGACATAGATTTCACTTTAGACATTAAGATTAAGTCACAATGCCTTATTAGCTTGCATTCGTTGCACTTCGAATGTAGATTAACTACGGTAATATTCTCAACCTTTTAGGTGCTAGGTTGATGGTGTTACATGTTGTCCGGACACAGGCTAACTCGGTTGGTAGTCGGGCCGGCCTAAGCTTGGTAATTTGATACATTGGGGCGACTGGCCTTCTCATTTATTATAATTATTTTTTTTCAAAATCTCATATATATATTGTAACAACAATACCAAAAAACTTACGCTTTTACTATACAAATATTGTTTACTTATTGCTCATTGGGTCTAATTCATTAACAATAACGAGTAAAAGACTTGGATATTTCACCGTATAAATGTCGCTCCTTACCGTACATTAGGTCCGATTTTATCGTTTACGCTTATTGGGCTCGATTTCATTGTTTGTTCACTCTACAATGTGTGTAAAGCCACCGTTTGGTCACTGTGCAATTATACTATTTATCCCAAAATCTCGCACTTTGGTCCTCTTTTAAACATTTTTTTTCAATCTAAAATTTTATTTTTTTCATTTTGGTCTCTCGCATTCTAAGAGGAGAGAAACGAGAGAGAAAGAGGGACGACTAGGTCCATTTTAGCCACTCTAATGGTCAAGCTTACGATCCATGTGTTTGTTTCAAATAGTAGAATCTGTTTGTAGTAGTCATAAGATATGAAATTATCGTAGGAGGAAAATCGGAATCTAAAAATATTTTTAAGTTTTTTTATTTTGATTTGGATTTTTATGTGAATTAAAATGGATTTTGAGGCTTGAAATAGGTTTTTAATATTATTTTTATAAATTTAAGGTGTTCTTGGATAAAAATATAATTGAATTTGGTCACAAGACATGAACTAGTGTTTCAATCAATGAGAATTGGTGGGCAAAGATGTTGCTTTTAAAACCATTAATCCCTACCTCCAATTGCTCAAGGATTGGAGAGAGAATTCGGTTTTTTTAGTTCAGTTTTTTTCAATCAAATTAAAAAAAAATCCAAACTAAATTACTATTTGATTTTTTTTAAATTAAAATTTTGGTTTTTGAGTTCGAGTTTTTAGTTAAAAATGAAACATTTTAAATAATATAAATAGAACAAAAAAAAATTATGTTATGGATTATGAAATCCTTTTTCTAATTCAAATGATCAAAATTAATCTATATAAAAGATAATAAATATCTGTTTAAATAAAACTAAAACACAAAACTATACTACATAAGATATTAAAATTTAAATACAAATCTACTAAATCACATTTAAAATATATAATAATATAAAAATATTGTAAACTGAAGTTCAAAAAATCAAATAATAATCAAAAGTGAAAAAAAAGTTTTCGTTTTTGATGAAAATGGAATTGTTAATTTCAAAAACCAAACAGAAACTGAAAAATCAAAATAAATTTATTTTACTTTTTATTTAAATTAAAAACTAATTTGAAATTGATATTTCAATTTAATTCGAAACATTTTTTAATTTAAATGGAATAGTATTCATCAAGGCTGGAGATGCTTCCATGGAATGAGCTGCACCCCTCTTAATCTGATATTTCAATTTAGTTCGAATTATTTTTTAATTTAAATGGAATAGTATTCATCAAGGCTGGAGATGCTTCCATGAAATGAGCTGCACGCCTCTTAATCTCTTACTCAGCGCTTCAGTAGCTCTTAGTCAGCGTTTCAGTAGCTCTGACTCAGGGTTTCAGCAGCTAGAGATGCTTTTTCTATTAAGATTTTGAGAAGGATAAAGCCAAAATTTTAGAGAGATATATGGCGCAACAAATC